TTTTTTTTACATTTCTACGAAGTATTCACAACGCTTTAATATTTTGAGAGCATGGATAAAGACATATTGTTAGTTTGATACGTGTTTCTGTGGTAAAATTTGTGTTTCCAGCTGTGTACTGACAGCATTCCTTTACTTAAGCAGTATTTTTATTTTTTGGACCGTTTTTTTTTTTTTCGCCCTCTCGCACCGATTTTGGGGTACCCAGAGGATGTCATCCATAAAAATAAAAAAGTGTGGCCTTATATAGATATAGGAGTAAATCTTATCGAATTTGAATTTTGTGTTTTATGTTTGAATAAATTCATTGTTTGTAAATATACTGTATTTGAATAATGCAATTATATTTTTCTTTGAAAATTGACTGCATTTTGCTCAGCTATCACTGTCTCATTTTAAATTGCCCATTGTGCTGATGAAGGTTTGTCAAATATTTATTTTGGTAAACAACTGAACCAATGTACTATCTCTCTTCCAGAGCCCCATATTGGTGCAGTTTCTGCCAACTCTTATCTTGTGGTCATTCTCAGCTCTGTTGCCATGGCTGGTCTATTACTCTGACCAGTTTGTAGGACACTGGACGAGGTAATCACAGTATTGACCACCTTGTTATAGCTTAACACAATTGTCTGTGGTGACTTGATCTGAATAATTGATCTTGACTAGTTCATGTGATGACTTTCAGTATGGGTGATTGTCACTCCAGTTTAAAGGTTATGAACTGTACATGTGTAGGCTATATGGATATGAAACGCTGTTTAAGAAAAATATGGCAAAAAACTGAAATGCTTTGAACATACATGTAGATTTACTGATATGAGTTTTTTCCATGTGTTAATGCTGATATGAAAAGTAAAAACTATTTTCTATCTTTATATTTTCTAGAACTGCAGAGCACCACACTGTGATGAGAAAAATCTTTATATTTTTGATTCTCATGGTTCTTGTTTTGCCCTCACTTGGTCTCACAAGGTAAAGATTAACTTTAGTTTAACTTAATTACATGTACTTTTTATTCCGATTACAGTCTAGTACAATATGACTATCAGAGTCAGGTGAGACTGACCTTAACAGTCCTAATGTGTTTTTCTGTTTTTAATAAGTGCTGTACCACTCATTTTTGAGGAAGTGCCACAAATATATTGTATTTGATTTTCCAGTATCAAAGCTTTCTTTGAATACACTGTGAGCAACCAGACTAAGGAAATCAGATGGGAGTAAGTAAAATATAGTTATTTTTAGTATTTCAAAAATAGAGAGAAATTTTTGTTTTTGAAAATTGAAACACTTTTTTGGAGCAATAAAGCTATATAGTCTGTGCTACTGTATATATGTGCATACCATTTACTGCACTATGGTAACATGCAACAATAAACTTGAATGTGCAACTAGAGAGAAAAAAAAAACAGTCTCATCTTTATTTTATCATATTGTTCATTTTAACATCCCATCAATATCTCAATATTTTCAGGTGTATATTTTTGCCAGATAACGGTGCATTCTTCGTGAATTATGTGATCACGTCGGCACTGATAGGAACTGGACTTGAGCTGATGAGGTTCCCTGAGCTGTCCCTGTTTGTAATTAAGCTACTGTGTGCCAGGTCACATGCAGAACAGGCCTCCGTCAGGAGAGTAAGTACAGCAGAATGAGACTATTTTTGTCAATAGCAACATGGAAGTTTTAATGTGTTTTTATCGAGCAGCATGTTAAATATTTTTCAGCACTTATTATTGAGCCTGAGTATCATAAATATGTTGATACTAAAAAGAATGTGAAAATGTGGCATAGTATCATGAAGACAAAAATATGTTGATAATGTTTAATGAGAGTCTTAACGTGAATTAAGTTATATCAGTTTGAATCGAAATGAATTCAGTTGTCTTTATATGTTCATCATACTCTGTCAAGAGTTTGTTTAAAACCATTCTAGGTTGTTAACTTGTAATTAAATTAATACAGTGTGACAATGGAAGCTTAATAAAGTTTACAATTTTAGAATTTGAACCTTGATTGCTGTGAAAGATTGTTGTCTTACAAGCAAATTACAAAAGATTACATGTAGCAAATTATGATTTGAAGATTTGAGGCTCATAGATTCTCAATTCATATTTTTATGTAGACCAAAGAGAGCTTCAAGAAAATTAGAGTCACATAATAATGTGTATCTACGCAATCGGAAGCATTAAATAAAATTAAAATTTAAGATTCTTGGGTGAAAGATTACAGGACTATGCCTGATCTCGGGATTTTCAGTATTCATTTTGATTGATTTTTTTCATATGGTCTAAATGCAAGCTACATTTTCAGGATTTTCAGTTTTTACAATTTTCACACATGAAAATTCCAAATGACTTTGAAATTCTTTTGTTCTTAAATAATTTTATTGTATTTTCCAGTCAGTGCTGTGGGAGTTCCAGTTTGGCCAGAACTATGCCTGGATGTTGACTATATTTGCTGTCACAATGACTTACAGCATTCCATGTCCCCTTATTGTCCCTTTTGGTGAGTTCCATATATCCCTTCCTTGGAGGTGACTGTTGGAAGTGAACTACATTATATTATTTTGTAGAGATGGATTAAAGGAAAGCTATTACATGATCTTATAAATTAAGTCTGTTTGAAAAAAAAGCATGTGTTAGTAACATGGATTATTTACAAAATCTGCATTTCAAAAACACGTCAAATTCAACAAGGCACATATTGATATTTTGTTCTTTACACTACTCCTGTATATAGGCTTCATTTTTCAGATTTCCTTCAAATTTCATGAATTGTTAAAGAAATTGAATAATCAATTTTAATATAGCCATGTGAAGACATACATGTAGCATATAACTTATTTCCTCTCTGTATATCAATTAATTAATTACAAACTTTCCTTGTTTTTTCAGGTTTGCTTTACCTTGTTTTGAAATATGCTGTGGATCGCTACAACATTTACTTTGCTTATGCTCCTTCAAAGATCAACAAGAATATCCACACCAGTGCCATTAACTTTGTCCTGATAGCTGTTGTCCTGCTGCAGTGCAATATTCTTTTCTTTACAGTTATCAGGACAGGTAAAGTATTTAATTGTCATTTGAAATTCCCAAGTTCATTCAGGGATGAGACTATCGGCTTATATCAACTTTTTGGGAGCCAAAAATATCATTGGCCTATGAAGCCCACTGTATCCCACGCCCTTTGTCTGGACTTTTTTACAAAATGGCAGTCTCATCCTTGGTTGACTGTTTCTACCAATTTGAAGAGGTGTTTTTTTTTAACACATTCTGCTAGTGAAACGGCAAAAAAGGTATTTGAATTTGTTGCCAAGGTGCAATTGATACACAAAACGTGTACACATATCACACAAATATCATAGTATCACAGTACATAAATCTCCCTACTAGACACGTTGGAGTTCAATTATGTCATCATTTTTATGTACAGACACAGATGTGTCTGTACATATTGCCATCACCTGCGTCTGTCGTCGCCGTCGTCGCCGATGGCGATGCCGATGCCGATGCCGTGCACTTTCCTTGTAAACACGATAAGTGGAACACAGTTTTATTTTTTGCTTTTATATTTACAGAGCTGATGAATATTCATAAAACNGTTATCAATAGTTTGTAAAACAAGTTTATTTTTGTTTACTGTTTCAGATCCCATACAGGGAATCAGTGGTTTCTCTGCCATTACTCTGTTCATCATCATGTTGATGTTCATTGGGAGACTGAGCTTTGGATGGTTCAAACAGTTCACCCCAGTATACTATAGGGTAAGTGTTGTGATAATTACATATTTACTCTCCTGTCACAATATTTAGATATTGATTAGTAAATGTGTGATCTTTTGAAATGTTTGGTGTATGATATGATGTATTGTAAAATGTTTTTATATTCTTCAGACACTAGATGGTGAAAGTGGCACCGGTCGTATCAGCACAACTTCAGACCAGGTAAGTCACATCACAATGCAGTCTTACTACAGATGTACCAGATTACTAGCTGGCACAACTAGCATATCTAGACACACACAAGATAAGGGTTACCATGATAAAAAAACAGGTCTTTAAACTTTCATTGCTCTACTCTTTTGGTATTGTAGATGTACTAAATTGATTGATATTTCACTTTTTATTGTACCTATTTCCTTTTTATAGCCTTTCATCCCCTCTGTGCTTAGAGATGACAGAAAGCAACCACCATCATCTCCTGATGCCTTGAATCCAAATAGTCACAATGACAACCAGGCAGCAGCCACTACTCTGGGCAACTCCTATGGTGCCACTGAGAACAGCCATACCACCAGACACAGGGACACGGGAGATATATTTGCCCCAGAATAATCATTTACATGCAGTTTTAGGACCATTCAGTTCCAGGAGGGGAAATTTGAAAGGGTTCAATATTTTTTTGTTGTCAGTGAAGGGAATTAATTGTGATATTCCCCCAGGCTGCAATGTGAAGCAGTTATTTTTCTATCCCTCATAGTGGATGGACTTGAACTTGTTAGCTTTAGCAGTGAGCAATTGCATTTGATGTTAATTGTTAATGCGACTGTATTTATGATTTTTGTTTGTAATGACATCTTTCAAACATTTTTAGTTTTATAATTTTCATTGTAATTTTTGTGTTAGAGTGTAACAACTGTTAATGTGTTTATCCATGGAATTTATTCCAGACCATAATATGGTTAAATATTAGAAAATATATGACTATGTATTATAACTTACAATATATTTAAGATTTGCTGGTAAAAAGAATCTGTTTGTGAATTTAAGAATTCCAATTAAGTACAGATCTTTTCTTATCATACTTATAAAGTTTGCTTATTTTGCCAATGTTTAATGTGCAATAGTATTCTTGTTTATCTCATATTATTTAATATATTTAATTTTGTTATTCATTAACTTTTAAGCTACTTGAAGAATAGCTTATGTGAGACTAGTACTGTCATGGATTTAGTTTGTTGGGTGCGTTAAGATAAGTTATGTGATTGATATATTTATTGTGACTTTTTGCATCTCTGTTATTTTCATGGGAAATGAATGGTGAGAATGAATGTGTAGTGCAAAGCCTTTTTGGATCACATTATACCTGCCATGTTATCGCACCAAGTCTGTGTTCACTGCAGGATTATATAAAATAGAAAAAGAGGCATTTGATCTTTGATCTTACTTACAATCTCATAGATGTGAAGCTGTCGTCAGTAATTATAATAATAACAACTTTCTCCCAAAACTATGTCTGTTATACGTTATAGTACAATTTAACACGTGTAAATATATTTATTGCTCGAGTGCAGGTTTCTGTGTGTATGGAATGGAGCGAAAACTAAACTCGTGTTCACTTTTGGGTTTCCAAAACTGCGTGTAACGTCGGTCTACTAACTGTACGCCGGCAACGGCACGTCGAAAGTGGGGAAAAAAAGCGAATGTAAATAGCACGAAAAAAAGCGAATGTAAATAACACGTAAATGGTTTAATGGAAATTCTGATTTCAATCAAAGCCTGCTTATATTAAAAGCAAACTTGCCTTCATAATTTTTCTTGTAGGAACTTTTGGGGATATTTTCAATTTTTTATTTTTCGGAAGTACAGAATATTGGAGGCGCTTATTTAATTTTAACAATGGTTAAAAGATGCGATTCTGGGCCAAAAGAAAGGAAATGAACTAATGAATTTTTGTGGATTCATCAATTTGCATTTATGTCCTGCGTGGCAGAAGCCGGGGTGGTACCATGCAAATTTCTTGCTATACCCTATTTTACTTATTGCCCTAAAATGACTAGTTTCTAGCATTAACACACTCGAAAATGCGCTTTAAAATGTACAAAAAAAAAAAAAAAACAGTTATCTTCACTTGCTTTTATTAGGCTTACATGCATTTTCTTGCATTTCTACCTCCAGTAAGAAACGAGATTTTTGGAAGAGGCAAAACTTTTATTACTCAAAGTTTAACTTATATGCCTTAAATATAGTCACAGAACAGACCCAATATACTGTCCTTTTTATTTGGTTAATATCCGGTAACACAAGCACAAAATCGTTTTATGAATAGCATGTTTAACAGTAAATTTGTGGCCCAGTGTTATCGACTGTTAGTATTACGCTTGTATAATGACTGAGATAATGATTAGTTAGCAACAACATCATGACCAGTAGAATAATCGATGAGCAATTAATGGTTCCTGAAAATGATGCAACTCTGTTCTCAGGCGTAAATAACCGTACGTTAGAGAAATGCATAGAGGACAACGGGATATCGATTGAAGTTAAAAGTGGTAATTTATTGGTCCTAAATAGTCGCATTGCTTTTTCAATTGCACGGTGTCAATTAAATCTTTTTCTACACTCAAAAGGCAATATCCAAATGCTTTTCTACATGAAATTTTGAATTACGTTCGGTCCGAACGAGATTAAGTACTACGTATCGTCATTCGTATCGTATTTATAAGAGCAAGTGTACGAGAAATGTTATAAACATGGCGTGTGTTAGTAGTCAAGTAAAGTCCAATCAATTAATAACAATATTTACCTTACTTTGATACCTAATTATCACCTCCTATGACTTTAAATACCAGAGAAAATCTAGAAATTATCCCATTATTAAAACCTCCTTAGTGCATTTCCATACAGGCAAGAATGACCTTTATACCAGTACATCGTGAAAACAGAGGGCTGACAATAGGAATTAGACTAACGCTTTCATTGCCTAGATTCCTATGATTCTCTTATCTACCGTAACTGATTCTATTATTATTACTGTTACCAAACAGATAAGTATTAGCTACTGCCATTTACCTCTTTAGTCCTCCCAAGAACCTAGGATGACGGCAAGCATACGAAAATTTTTGCGGTCTCTTACGATTCTTACAGCGTCGTCTATGATATTGTGCGAAGTTAAAACAAAAGAAAATTTGTGGTCAGTTCACAAAGGTTATTATATTAGAGCTGCTGCGAGTGGAATCCAAACAACGGAATCAGAAGACACTATAAGTTGCGCAATCTCATGTCAGCAAGAACCAAGTTGCTTAAGCGCTAATCATTTTGGAAATAACACGTGCCAACTTCTGTCATGCATTTCCAGCGTGAAGGACGCTTTACCAGGTGAAAGTGGGGACGAACTCATTACGCCGGTTCAGGTATGAAGTTTGACGAATATTAAAAAAAAAACATATTCACTGTATTCATGTACCTGTGCCATTTTGTTGCGCAATCAAATTCGTCAAATACTTAAAACTAGAGTATTACATCAAAGACAACTAAAACTTACGAGGTCTCTCTCAGAAACGAAACATATTTGATGATTATCTTAACGCTTTTTCCGTTACAAAATGACCAATCAAAATGTATACGATGCATGCTATTGTTCTATATGAACCTCCACAGAGTGAGACCTTACTGTTAACTAACAGAGGTAATATAAGTAGTGGGAAGGCTAGGTGGTGTCATTACCAAACGAATACATATTCACGATTCGAACCTGAACAATAGAACGAAAGGGCAAATGTTTAAAAACTTCCTTTGCGCATTTGTCTATTAATATAAACGATGAAGCTGTGTTTTTTTAGGAGAAGCCTCTGCAATGCGAACCTCTTTCATCTGCCAGCAATAACACAGGTATGTTCTCTATTCAGTTTTTTTTTTAATTGTTGGACCTTTTCAAGAATTTTTAAAAGCCGGAATCAATGTTCTAAAATTGTGGCGTTTTGATCTTCACGTCGTATGCCAAAGTCTCATGGCACACGTATCCAGTGTTTGTTATTAATAAAATGGTTTATCATTTTGCACAATTTGTTTCAAACGAAGTACTAAAGATATTAAAAACGTGAAAAAATTAAAAAATATATATATATATATATATTTATTTATCGACTACTATCAGTGTCGCCATTCGGTTTACCGCTTGTCCCGTACTAGAATTTCGATGGATTTATTTTTATGTCAAAATTATAGCGACATGATTTTGAACTAAGAAATGGATGATAAAAATAAGTAATATGTAACACCCCATTCCGCATCGATTAAAAAGACTACTATTTATGCTCTCATTTGATCCTTTTAAAGATTTGAATATAGAGAAAAGAAAACAAAGCGTAATTCTTGTGCATACCAAAGTCTTAAACAAAGCATTTAAATGGGTAAATATTTTCATTGCTGCAGAGATATTTATCAGTTAATTGGATGGTTTATGATCTTGTAATAACAAAATTATGAATAACATCAAATGTATGGAATCCTCTGTTGCCACAGCTAGATGATACCCGTTAATGTCACCTATACTACCATTGATCTCTCAGGTGATTTATTTACAGACAATTATCTGTTACGCTTGAGCTGATACAATGTTGTTTCCTTGCTCAACTAACAATGTTACATAGGACAGTATGATTATAGAAAGGGTAACAGGGCTATTTAGCGTTTGACGACAGTTTGTGGTCAGTATTAAATCATCGATATCTATTTGAGGATGTTGTCCTAAGTAAATGAATGTCACTACAACAATTAATACATTCATTTATTCATTTTTCAGCTGTAGAATTTACCCATCGATCAGCTTCAAAGTGGATCCGTTTGGTTCCAAAACGATGCACCCCTAGTCTGGGAGCACTGACGGCCTGTCTGTGGATAAAATACAATCCAATTCTCAATGCTACGAAAACCACGCTCCTTTCATATGCGACTACAACGTACACCAAGGCCTTTGTGCTTCTGTTTGAAGACGAAGAGCTAGTGATACGTATTAACTCTCACTCACATCTCTTTGGCCGTCTAACGCTGTCCAACAGCACTTTCTCCGACAACGCCTGGCACTACCTGTGCGTTTCGTGGGCAAGCAGTGACGGAAGTTGGCACTTCTATGTTAATGGCAGCCTGGCGTCCCAAGGGACAGGGTACGACGTAGGAGAGGTGTTGGAATCTGGTAAGAGTATACCTTTTAGAAATTTTAATTATCTTAAAAGAGGGAAGACATGGACTGCACTGGTCTATACTGGGACTTGTTTCACTAAAAGTTTAAACCTCAAATTCGGTTTAAACTTTTAGGTCAAAATCTTATTTGAGCCAAGTGAAACCACCACTAATCCAATTAAAAATGAGTACTTCATTTAAGTGGAACACTGCATCCTTTTAAAAGGAAAAGGATATCTTATGTCTCAGATCAGTACCTACTTAAATACTTTAATCGGGCCACTAGGGCTTTATCTTTAACTGTAATAAATCAAATACTGGTCTAACAGTTTAGATCAATTCTAGGGCTTGAGTTCTTTTACGAAACACTACTCAGATTACTTCTACTGAGAAACATGCAGTAGCTTAAATTTATTTTCATATTAGATATATCAGTAGGCCTACCTAAGTATGCAGGTCTAAGTATACATTCACCTTGATTTTCAGATGGTGCATGGGTAGTAGGCCAGGACCAGAACAGTGTGGGAAGTGGTTTTGACCACAGACAAGCATTCAAAGGTTTTGTGTCCTCTGTCGCCATCTGGGACCACGTGGTGAACATAACCAACTGCGGGCTGTGTTGCCAAGGTAACCTGATCACGTGCCCGTATTTTAGTTCGTCTGAAGTCGAACTCAGCGATGCCGTCAGTGTTAACGACGACGGACCAAACAATTGTTAGAGACGTTCACCATTGTTCACTTTCAGGCCTACCCAACTGCCAGACTCGGCACCGAATGATCCTGAATTCACCGGTATATCAGACCACACTACCCGTTTTCAAGGTGTGTGTCAGATCGCATTACACAGTATCATACCCTGAACAAATTTTGAGTGGTGATGCAATGCTTTTCAACCCCGCTGAGAATCGTCACTATCACATCGCATACTAGGCAAGAGCGATGTCGCGTCTGATACTGTGTAATGCGATCTGACAAACACCTTGAAAACGGTTAGTGTGGTCTGATCTACCGGTGAATTCAGGATCATTCTGTGTCGAGTCTGGTAGTTGGGTAGGCCTGACTTTGGCTTTCTTAGTGAAGCAAAAAAGAAAAATGGCACTACTAATCAAACTCTGAACTTGCTGGCTTGGCTGTAAAACACTGACATTTTTGAAAATGTATTCACCATTTTTGAATTACACCCTTTACACTGGCGGATCCAGGATTTTACTTAGGAGGAGTTTGCATTTGGGTACAAGGGTACAAAATGCTTAAGCGAAGTGCGACAAATATTAAACAGTATCTTTTACCATAATATGCAGGCTACATGTATAGATACTGCTTTTTTGTTTCGTTTCCTTTTGTTCACTCTGTTGATTTGCGAGGACGAAAAGGGGAAGGAGGTACATGTACTTAAAAACTAGTGGGCGGCAAGTGGCGGCTGTGCCCCCCCCCTCCCCACCAGCCGGCAAAATAAAAACCAAAATCCATGGCGGAGCCAGGGGGATACAGTGAGCCACATGCCTCTCTCCTGGTGTCGGCTGTACCCCTTCTATTATAAACAAAGTAAACGAGACAAAGAAAAACAATGACCTACATGTATCTCTGATACGTATTTTAATTAAACTTATATTACATTTTCCAATTTTCTTATGTCATAAATATACATGTAGTTAGACATAAATAGTAATAAAACAAAAACCACACTTATTGTCAGTCTTCACTGCTTAAGTTGACAGACCACCAGATGTAAACTTATTGTGAGTTAAAAAATATTAACTGTAACCATCACTATCAACTTAGACCTGTGAGAAATCCGCTTTCCACTATTTCTCAGTTTAATCCCGAATCCTATAAACCTGCACCCACCGTTGAATGGCATCTATTCTCAGTTTCAATAAAAGCAATAACGCGATCCACTCCATGATTCTCTGGGGCTAATGCCACAGCTTGTGAATTATACGTCATTCAGATTCACACATCGTACTAGCTGGGTCGGTTCCAAAATCACTTACTGCACCAGTTGTGTCATTAAATAACAGACACACATTCATAATACTGCTGATTGTTGTCTGGCCTAAATTTTTGCAATAGCTTATCAGCGAAGTATACTGATTTTCGGATATGAGATTGGCATACAGAATGGTTATTGGAATTAGCCTTTTGTGAAATAAAATGAAAGAAAAGAAATTTCTTATTGATATTGCAATATTCAAACTATATTGTAAAAAACTGTTTTGTGCGCCAAAAAAGAATTTTGAGATCCCTTGTGCGTACCAGACTACTTGTGTTCGAGTTCTCTAAGTAGTTTTTTCAGTTCAGGTCCTTTTTTCAATTTCATAGCAATCAAATCCATAAAGCAGCTCTCAGGGATCGGGAACATGAAGTGTTTCTGATACCGTAAAAGGGGTATTCTCCGTAACGGATGTATCTTTTTCTGCCTGATTTTCTTTGTCTTTTCGTTTCTTTTTCTTTCCGTGTAACTTTTGTATTAACTCGTGAGTGACCTCTGCTGTCCTTTTTTCCTCCTCCTTCTGAGCCTTTTTCGTCTCAATCAGTACAACAGCTAAACGGTAAAACTGCAGGAGCAGTACCAGAACATTCTTTGTTGTGAAAAATATGATGTTGTAGTTGAAGATGCTGTATTTTATGATACTGAATAGCCTGACCGTCAGGAAAGGACCATCTTGCAGCAGTACTATCAGCCCAATTGCCCATATTTCCGTCTCGCATGAGCAGCACCCATCGTCAGGATCAACTTCACTGGTGTTGTCACCGATTGTGATAATGGTGGGGTTGTCGTCTGTGGATGCCTGACTTGGGCGGGAACGCTGGGACCCGCCTTGCTGACTGCGTGAGCTGTGCCGCATGCTCCTTCGTATTGGAATAAAAATAGGTCTCGGCTTTCGCGTTTTCGTCGCCGTATATACCAAACAGAACTGGAACAAACTTAAAGACCATACTCCCAGAATGGCATACCGCAAAACAAGATCGCGCACAACTTTGTCTTCATCAAACAAATACAAGAGTTCCATAATGTCCGATGCCATGCCAATGTAGGCAAAGAGTAATTGTGACAGTTGTTCCCTAGTGATTTCGCCCTTAGGTAAGAGCCATCTAGCGATGATAAGAAGGAACAGCAGCGACTGCTCAATGGCAAGAACCCACTGGTTGGCAGACAGAACGATCGGGACTTCCACCTAAATGTCACCGAATCAAACAAATTCATTATCATTAAAGCACAGCATTAAAGTACAAAGGAGACACGTAACGTAGTTGTCAAAGGAAGCAAGTGCACCCCCCCCCCACACACACACTTTTAAAAGGGGAAAAGACCAATTTTTGTGTAAGAAATGTAACCAACCAGCAGAAAAAAAGCAACTAACCAACCCGTGATTACGCAATAATAAACAATCAACCAACACAGGTAAAAGGGGCACCGTTTCTCTTTAATGATATATCAGTGGTTTGGTTGAATACCATGCATATAAGTTACATGCTATAAATTTAAGTTGTCCAACAGGTTACATCACTTGATATGGCGTGCACTATTCAATGGGATTAGCTGTTTGTGCAATTGAGCCCTACAGCTACAATACATTTACCCCGTATAAACTTGAGAGTTGTTCGGCCGCTGTGCCATTGCCCGTGACAAGTTCATCGAGACGGTCCAGGCGGTTTATCTCCAGTAGCCACACAGCAGGGATCACCGCGCTCAGATAGCAGAAGAAACTGGGACAGAACCTACAAAACCAAGACACGTACACAATTTGCTGATACTTCTACAGTTTATCTTTTTGTATAAAGGGAAATCAAAAAGCAATAAAGAGCTATTTTTATACTTCCTCGTTATTATATGTTATATTATATTCTTGCAAGTTTTGAGATTATAGGTCCAAAGAGAAATTGAAAAAGATGAATATAATATACATGTAGTTAATGTCAAGCATGAGTGCATGAAGGTTGAAAAGCAACCAGATAAATGAGAAATGCAGTTAGTGCCAGTAAGAATTCAAAAGAGTAAGCGAAGCGCTAGAGTTTGTTGAACAAACACGCTATATTGTATACCCAAGAGTAAATGATAAGTTCAAAAACATGTTTTTTGTCCTTGATGAACTTCGAGAAGGAATCGGTTAATGGAAGTGTTTCAATTTATGGACTACAGTCTAATGAATCTTACATTGATGTTACACATTCAATTAGTAATGCACTTAGATCTCTCCATTAACATTACCCGATCATAAAACATTTCTATTCTAAATAATAAAGAAACACACTCATTTTCTTGTTAGGAATTCCATTAAAAAATGAAATTTAAAAAGTCTCGTCAGTTAGTTTTGATAATACCGTATGAGACTACTTTTTGTGTCTAATGCGAGATAAATTTTCACTCTTAACTTGAATTCTAAGTACGCAACATGACTACGTTACTTTCGAATGGAAAACGCAAAAAAAAAAAAAAAAAAAAAAATGGAAATCTTTACCGAGTTTTACAGTATAAGAGAAATTTATCAAATTTGTTTCAAGNAAAAAAAAAAAAAAAAAAAAAAAAAAAAAAACTAATGGAAATCTTTACCGAGTTTTACAGTATAAGAGAAATTTAACAAATTTGTTTCAAGTGAAATAACTCCCGAATATAGCCAGACATTGTCAAGGCCCATAAAGAGCCATTGACATAAAAAAAAAAAACGTACGGAACCTTTGGCGCCATAAAAAGACAATAATGGTATAGAAAGTCTCAATAATGTTTTAATGGATCAAATGAACTGAAAATGTTTAATTTTGGTAGCAATATCTCAATATCTTTCGCGAATTCTTATTTATGGTTAAGTTTGGCAAATATCTATAGAAAGACCACTCTTTGCAACATTTACAAATGTATTGACCATCTACTCTCCATATTTATTTCAAAGTGCAGGTAAAAGGAAACGTTTTACCCCAAGTGCCTGTGTCGCCGCGATATTTACTGAAGCATCATTAGATCCGAAACACAATGCTCTTGCGTTCGTCTGTTTTTTGGGAGATAACAAATGATGAGCAAGTGCAAACAGTTTCGATTATTGGTAATTTCTGGGCAAATTATTGCACTTTATCTGAAACTGTCACTCGTACACATTATTGTTGGCCTCTTTGCAACACCACAAATGAAAATATGTGCACTATGTGCAGATATTTATTATTTAAAATAACGTAATTTTAATTTACTCAACATTATCTGATACTTTGTAATAGCTTTACACTATTATTTTACTAGATCGACCTTTCAATAAAAGCGGCCGTCAACGGCCAAATTTCGAACACCATATTTGTGTTTGTCCTTTAATTATACTTTATCTTGGGTTAATGAGGAGGCATAAAAGGAATTAACGATGGGAAATTGTGAAAGTTTCTGTATTTCTAAAAGGATGTTCACATTGCTCAAGTGTACATACTTTGACAAATTGGATCTAGAACCATGTTAACGAAATGAACACTGAAGTGTCTTTAATCATAAGCTATTTTTGACTATGCTTTGAAGAAAGAAATTCTCAAGCTTACTTTCATTTCATACTTGCTCTTTGTATACATATGTGTATCCAATGTTTATTCAAAGCTTAAAAGAAACCTCTTTATAAAATTCACTGTCAATATCTCAATTTAACTTTGATTTGCTGCGTGTATCATATTGTTATCTAACCTGATATTTTGACAAAAATATGTATAACTTTTACATACATGTACCAGCAGTAACCTACTTACCATTTCCATTCTTCCCCCTTTCGCTTTATGACCGTGACTAGTGCTTCCACCACCAACGCTATCAAGCTCACCAGCATCAGCCAGTAGAGGGACTCCTGAAGTACGTCTGTTACACGCCAAACACTGATGAAAGTGTGGAGTACAAACATCAGTCGAATCACCACTGCCGATATGATTGTGAGCGGCATGTTTTATCTATGTAGGAAAGATAAAGGCAAAACCGTCAACCACTTCGACAAAAGTAACCATGGCTTAAAAAGTATCATCTAGTAATAAGCGTAATCGAAAGTACATCCCTTATTTTTGTCTAGTTCAAAGGAAGTTGTAATACAGCAGTGTCGGCGAATAATCTCCGTTTGCGCCAATGTTTTGTAGTATCTGTCGATGATCAAAAACGGGAACCAGGAATAGAAATAGTTGAATATTGCACTATTTCCGATGGTCGTTTTTATCGTAGTCGCTGCTTCAAAATAATTAAATTTGAAATAATCTTACTGATCTAAGCTTTTGGAAACAATGCCTTCAACCATACCTATAATGTTTAAAGATAACGCAAATTGTCCCAGAGACCACGCCTTATAGCCTAAGAAATCCGTTGACGTCAATCACAGCGCTATTGGGAAGAGAACGGCAACATGGGCGGGTTTAAAAGTGAGATTCACAAAGCAAAATAGCTTTTAAGTAAGGTCTGCCAATACAGCCTTTTGCCATCAAATGCTGACGTACTGATTGGCTATGCCATTAGCAAAGCGCTTCCCCTGAGGTAAAATGTATACCGTACACAGGATGGAGTTCGTAGAAATTGCATGGTATCTACTGAGACTCACCTTCAGTAGATTTTACTGTTGTAGAATGTTTCATTCTTGTGATTCAACGTTTAATCATCGAAATGTACTCGACTTAATTGGGCTACGGGTTTAAATTGACGCCCACAAATAAAGTTACAGAAACAAGCATCAAATAGAACTTAATGAGATCCTATTTATCGTACATGGATGTAATTAGCACAATTGTAGTATATACCCCCGTTATAACGCATAACGGTTATCATTACACAACTGCAGCCTATAAGTGCTGCAGCTACAGTATATGGCCGCATTCACATCGAGTTGTACCATGGCTCTGCAAAGCCACGACCTAAATATGGCGGACGTACATGAAAGGAAAACCGCCTAATCTTTTAATAGTCTCTCCG